GGGAAACAAAGGCAGACACACCAGAGCTCTTGGGAGCCTCATTGGCGGGCGTCTGCCCAAGATGGGCCCTGACGCCCGCCTGAGGCGGGCATAGACTGAATCGTCCATCACGTCCACGGGGATCCGGGACTCCCTTTGCGACAGAGCCAGCAAAATCTGACAGTGAGTGGCTAGGCTGTGGCCTCGGGGTCCACGGTGGGGAGGGCCTGGGAGGCTCGGGTTTACAGGGCCTTGGCACAAACGGCCCCGGAGTGTTGATGGGCAGTCGGAGACTCCAGCCCTGTCCTCTTCCGGTCGCCATCTTGTGGGCGGCTTCAGCCTGAACCCGGCTCTCTAGAGATCAGGTCTCATTTCAGTGAAAGGAAGGGCTTCCGCTGAGATCCCTGGTTGGCAGACGGCCCCAGGCACTGGCCATAGTGGTGAGGACGATCGTCCCCGCCCAGCCCCTCAGAGCACCCACCAGCTGGTCAGGCGACACCTGCCAGTCTCCTCCACTCACCCCTTTTCTCCCCCTTGGCTGGTGACATGGCCCAGGGTGCAGGGATGTGAGGGTCAGGGGCCCCAAGGGGCACGGAGGCCTTGTTATTCTGGGATGCCCAGTACCCGAGTGGGCTAAGATTTGAGGCACAGTTGAGGCCTGAGATTCTTCACCTTTCTTTCTTTCTTTCCTTATTTTTGGTTTTTTGAGACAGGGTCTCACTATGTAGTTGAGACTGACCTGGAACTCACTATGTAGCCCAGGCTGGTCTCGAACTCACAGCGATCCTCCTGCCTCAGCCTCCCGAGTGCTGGGATTACAGGTGTGCACCACCACGCCTGGCCTTTAATTTTAAATACCACTTCTGGTCATTTCTCTCTGGGAGAAGTCTGAAAAAGACCCCAAACTGTCAGGTTAAAAAAACAACTACAGGGACCAGGGATTTAGCTCAGTGGTGCCGCCACCTGCCTCACAAGTGCAAGGTCCTGAGTTCAATCCCTGGTTCCACAAAAATAAACCAAAAAAAAACAACCTACACATTTCCCATCAAGAGTCCACGTTGTCCACATTTCAAAGCATCTCCATCAGGCTGCTCGTGTGTCCAGGTGCACACTAACACACTGGCGCGCACAGCTGCACACTCAGAGCTGCCACACTCATGGGCACACGTGTACATATTTGCCCACCCTGAGTAACACTCGGTTCTCTGCGTTTACTGTGTGCTTGGATTTGTCCCCTTGTGACCTGCAGGGTCACCACTGCCGTCCCTGAAGTTAGGGTCCTCTTCACACCGCAGGACACTGTAGTGAGTCTGGGTCCCAAAGCCATGCTCTGTGTGTAGGCCCTTATCCAGGTATCCCAGCTGGACTTCAGGGTGAAGTCTGGGCGTGGACTTGCTGGGGCAAGAGGCACAAACATTCCCATGGCTCTTTGTGTTTATTTTTAATTAATTTTTTTGATACTGGGGATCGAACTCGGGACCTTGTGCTTGAGAGGCAGGCGCTTGGCACCACTGAACTAAATTCCAGGCTCTTTTCCTTTATTTATGTATTGACTGGGGCGCGAGGGAGGGGCCCCGGGGCCTTACACGCCAAGCGCTGTACCGCCGAGCTGCTCCCACACCTGGCTCTTCAGGAGCAAGTTAGCCTGCTCTTCACTGGCGGTCTCTGCTTAGTTTAAAGTTTGTTTGTTTGTTTGATTGAATTCCGAGGGCTTTGCAGAGTTCTCACTCCTGTCCTGGAGGCCACTGGGTTTGGGGCCCTATATTCATAGCCTTCCTTCTTGTTTTCCAGATGTACCCTCTTGTCCTTCTTCCTTTTTTGCGTGATTTGTGTTTGTTTGTTTTTTTGTTTTTTTGGGGGGGTACCAGGGATTGAACTGGGGTTCTTGTGCTTGCAAGGCAGGCCACCGAACCACTGAGCTAAATCCCCGGCCCCTTTTTTGTGATTTTTATATCTTGAATTTATGTGTAAAAGGCCACCCGAGTTTCCCTTTGACTTAGGAACAAAATGCCCTCCCTCTGGAGCAGCATCTGATCCTGGGCCCGTCCCAGCGGGTCAACCCGGTTCCAGCCTCACTGATAAGAGAAATACTGCACAATAAGTCCGGCGGAGCCTGGCCTCCGTGTTTTTCTTTCCACAACATGTTTTGTTCAAGAAATGTAACACTTTGTGCTGCTATGTGGCTGGGCAGCGCTCCTGCCCGATGTATCAAAATGTTTTGTGACTCTTTGAACTGTGTGACCTTTCAGGAATGTTCTGTTAACTCCGCCCCTGCATCTATGAGCATGCTCGCCCGCTATGCCCTTCAGGAATGTTCTGTGACTCCGCCCCCCCTTCAGTGAGCATGCTCCCCTATGCCATTGACCCTTATATAAGGAGGCTCCTGGTTCTAGTCAAGCATTCTGAGATGCCCCCCAGAACAGAAACCACCTCTTTGAGAAACCTTTGGATTTTCAAGTCTTCAAATTGGGATAGCTGCGACCCAGAGCTGTAACACTGAGCTATGCCTCAGCGGCGGCCCTCGGCTGTGAGGCTGAGCTGTAACACTTGGCTATATCTTGAGCTGTCCAGCTTTTCAGCTGCGACCCGGAGCTGTAACGCTTAGCTGTGCCTCAGCAGCGGCCCTCGGCTGTGAGGCTGAGCTGTTCCACTTGGCTATATCTTGAGCTGTCCGGCTTTGCAGCTGCGACCCGGAGCTGTAACACTTAGCTGTGCCTCAGCGGCGGCCCTCGGCTGTGAGGCTGAGCTGTAACACTTGGCTATATCTTCAGCTGTCCGGCTTTGCAGCTGCGACCCGGAGCTGTAACACTTAGCTGTGCTTCAGCAGCGGCCCTCGGCTGTGAGGCTGAGCTGTTCCACTTTGCAGCTGCGACCCAGAGCTGTAGCACTCAGCTGTGCCTCAGCGGCGGCCCTCAGCTGTGACACTGAGCTGTAACACTTGGCTATAGCGCTGAGATGTCTAGCTTTGCCGCATCACCGGGCCAGACCGCCTGTCAGGAATGCAGCCCAACGCCTTCATCCCACTGACTGAACTCAACGCCGGTTTTCCAGAACCTCGCGATGTTTCCAGTTCTCTCCACAAGTCCTGTGGTGCCACGACAAGGGACCCAGGGCCCGGCAGGAGCAACTCCCAAACCCCTGTCAGGTGGTCGTCCTGGCCAGGGCCTCAGCCTCCTGTCTGCCTGTTGCTGCCTGGGACTGACCACAGGTAGGACTGGAGCCACGTGGGGTGAGCAGAGTCCCCTCCAGGGTGGGGCTGGGCATGGCATCTGGGAGGAAGGGCCACTGTACGCAGTCTTGGGAGCCAGGTCCCTCAGTGAGTCAGCGCTGCCCTACCTGCCTCTAAATATGGCACCGGGCCCTGGGGTGCTCCAGAGCTCGGCACTGCATGCTGCCATTCAGGCTGGCTTTCAGCCTCTGCAGGTAAGAGGGCTGGACAGGTGACATTTTAAACCAGGAGGAGCAGGGCATGGCGGTGCATGCCCACAATCCCAGCACTCTGGGAGGCTGAGGCAGGAGAGTTGAAAGTATGAGCCCAGCCCAGGAAATGCAGTGCCTGAGAACCTGTCTTAAAACAAACTACCCCTCCTCACAAAAACAAACAAAAAAAATAGGGCCGAGGAGCTCGGTGTGAAGGCTCGGCATTCTGTTGTGAGTACTGGGAAAAACCAAAGCTGGAACAAGGACACTAAGGGAGCTCAGTCAGCCCCAGCTGGCCCGGAGCCAGGACCTGTTTGGAGGTGGCAGGGCTGCTGGGTGTCAGTCGGTCACTGATAAGGCTCTGCATGGTCCAGGGTCCCTCTGCTCACCTCTGTCCCGAAGCCTCGGGTCTGCACACACTGGGAGGCAGGGATAGGGAGAGAGGGGTGGGTGCCACCCGTGAGGCCTGGGGGGGCGCACGTGTAAGGCATGGGGACCGTGTGGTGTGTGTCACTGTCCCGGCTGGGAGGAGTGGGAGCGGGCTAGGCTCCTTGGGAAGCAGAATGGTGCTCCTCAGAGACTGAAGCCGGAGGCTGAGGCAGGAGGGTTGCAAGTAGAAGCCCAGCCCCTGATGTCTTAAAACTGGTTTGCAATGGTGGCTGCACAACTCTTAACAGTCAGAAATCCTGACTGCCTCATCCGGCCAAGCCCCACAAACCCTTGGCAGGCAGGGCTGCAGGCCAGGCATGATGCCGTGGGGGCTGGAGACCAGCTCCTGGCCAGACCGGCCCCATCATCTCCTGGGCTTTGGCGGCACCCACCTCTGCCAGGAGCTGGGGTCTGGCCGTGCATGGGGACCTGGTGTCAGGAGTTAGGGTGGGACCTGCGTGCTGGGGCTGGTGGTGCCTCTGCATGGCTGGGGTGGTGCGTGTGCCAGGCAGGAAGGGGCTCGGGGCTGTCACAGAGCCACTGGATGTCACCACCGACGCATCACGCAGAGCCTGCGGCGGGTGCAGACGGGCTGGGGGTGAAACGGCACCCCCTGTCCCCCGCCCCACCCTCTCGTGCCAGCCAGGCTGGTGACCAGCTCTGAGAATGTCCCTCTGAGGTCCGGCCACCCTGGCTATGGGGCTGAGGCCACGTCCCGCAGTGCACAGCTCGAGAGCCCCTGCGGCACAGCCGCCTGAGGGACCAGGGCCCCTGCGCCCATGGTGCAGATGGGTCTGAGCGAGTCCCGGGTGGTGCTGGGCTGTGTTGTGGGGTCTGTGCTTGTACTTGGGGGTGTGGGCCACAGAAGGAACCCCATGCCCCAGAAGCCCCTCCTGGGGGAGCCTTGGCCCTGGAGAACTGGGGTCTCCCAGAGCAGGGGGCTGCACAGAGGCCATTCTGCTGCACTGTGACTGCAGAGACAGCCGGGGGCACTCAGCCCTACAAGCCGTGCTCCCACACTGCGCCAAAGCCGTGCCAGGGTGGCCGCGTAGGTGGGCAGAGCGTGACAGGATCAAGCGGTGGAGCCCCCCAAATCCCGCGGCTGCTGCCCCATACACAGAAGCCTCAGATCTTGCCTTTTCAACTTTAATTTTGCATTTTACAGAGACAAGGCTTTAGGAATTGGGCTTGGTCAAAAAAGAAAAAGGGTTTGTAAAACTCAAGCCCCCCTGCATCAAGAGGCCGGCAGGACACCCGGTGACCAGCCCTCCACCCCCCACCCGCTTTGTGACCTGCTTGTTTGGCAATGCTCGGGGCAGAAGCCAGGGTCTGGTGCATGCCAGGCAAGCGCTTCACCAGAGCTGCCACACCGCAGCCCTTCCCGTCCTGAAGGCGGGGCCCCGGTCATGGACGCACCCTTAGCCACAGTGAAGCACTGTCGAGCCCCAACCCTCCTGGTCCAGAGGAGCCCCACACCCTGTGCCCGCCTTTTCCTGGACAGCTGGCACAGCCACACTGGTGCCTCACTGTGACAGTGACTGCCCTGCCATGCAGGCGCTGACCCTTCCGGAGGCGCCATCCCCAGGCACCCCTGTGGAGAGGGGAGCAGGTGGGAGGGGGCACTGTGGCGGGGGACAAGGAGGTGACTTTCCTGGGAAGGGGCGGTTGCTGAGCTGTGGCCAGGGTAGGGGCTTGTTGAGGGGGTCATGAGTGTCCTCACTGCCAGCGTTAGCCTGGTGCAGGCTGTGCCACCAAAAGGCCTCTGCTGTCCACGATGGGGTCTCAGCTAAGCCGTCCTCCTCCCGCCTCAGCCCTCCGGCCCAGGCCTGCCCTTCTAAAGCACCCGGCTGCCCACCCGATGACGAGCCATGAGCACGGGCCTGGAGGGCAGAGAGACTGCGCTGTGGGTCCCTTCCAGGCCCTGGACAGCCTGCCTGCCTGCCTCCCTCCCTTCCAGCTTACTGTTCCAAGTGCTGAAGGAGGGGATAGGTGGGCAGGGCGGGTGCACAGCAGGTGGGAGAAACCAGGGCTGGCCTGGAGGCGGCCTGTGCTCAGGAGTGCTGGCATTGTGGGAAGGAGCTAGGAGCCAAGGAGGAAGCAGGGAGCTTTGGAGACAGCCCGGCGAGGGTTCATCTGTGACCCAGGCTTCCCTGCCTGGCCTCTCACACCCCTACCCCATGCTGCCCCCCGGGGCACTCAGATGCAGGCCCCACCCGGGGCGGGGACAGTAGGAGGGTCTCCAGGGCCTGCTGGCTGCTGCAGGAAAGCGAGTGGCCCGAGTCACATTTGGCGTGGGTCCGGCTGAGCGGGATGCTGGTGGTGCCCAAGGGCCCACGGCCACCACGGTTCCCTGGCGCGTGCGAGTGGTGCCGCCAGCGCTCCCGGAAGTTCTTGGAGAGCAGCGTGTAGAGAAAGGGGTCCACGCAGCTGTTGCCATAGGTGAGGCAGGTGGTCAGGTAGTTGACGATACACGCTGTGCGAGGCGTGAGGGGCAGGGCCTCGCGGTACTGGGCCAGCAGCTGCCACAGCCAAAAGGGCAGGAAGCAGGCCCAGAAGAGCAGCACGATGCTCAGGATGAGGTAGAGCACCCGCGGGCTGGGCAGCCGGCGTGTCTGCTTGAAGGAGGCCTGCTGGGACCGCCAGTAGGCGCGGGCCAGGCGCACATAGAGCAGCCCGATGACGAGGCCTGGCCCCACAATGCTTGTCCCGAACAGCAGTGTCAGGTAGGCGCGGTGGGTGCGTGGACCCCAGGCCGGCAGGCAGAGGCGCTTGGGGCCCCGGTGGACCAGCCGGATGGCCAGCATCATAGGCAGGGTCAGCAGCAGGGCCAGCAGCCAGGTGCCCAACGCCAGCAGCTTGCGGTAGCCCTTTGAGCGCCGTGCCACGTCCAGTGGCCTGAGCACCGCCGCGTAGCGCTCGCTGCTCATGACGGTCAGTGTGAAGATGCTGGCGTGCATGGTCAGGAAGTCCAGGCTGAAGAGCACGCGGCAGCCCACGTCACCAAAGCGCCAGTCCTTGGTGATGTAGGTGGCCACAATGAAGGGGATGCTGAGCAGGTAGAGCAGGTCAGCCAGCGCCAGGTTGACCACGTAGACGTACATGGAGGCCGAGGCCCGAAGGGAGCGGCACACGACCACCAGCGTGTACACGTTGCCCACCACGCCCACCGTGCCCATGGCTGAGAGCACCGCCCCCAGCACCCCCACAGCCACCAGGTCCTGCAGGGGGCTGGGCTCTGGCGGGCTGGCCCAGGAGCCGTTGGAAGAGCTGTTGGAGCTGCCTGCCAGCAGGGGGAAGCCGGTCGAGGACTCCGGGCTATGCGCCATCTCCACCTCACGCTGGGCCCTGGGCTGGCCGTGTGCTCCTGGGTCTGTGGGTGACAGTGCGTCCTGTGGAGGAGATACCCATCGGTGGGGCAGGTGGTGCCCCTTCTACACCCTGAGGCCTCCGTGATGGCAGAGCTCCCTCGGGGCTGCTGCCGGCCTCAAAGTGTGGGGCTCACCCCTCTGCCCCGCTCAGCACTGTCAGACAGCCCCTTCTGCTTCACCTGCCCAGTGACCGGGAATTCCCAAGAGCCACCTGGACCCACTTTCTGGGCATGCTCCAGGACCCCAGCCCAGGCCTCCACGCCACAGCCTCTAGGACTGACTGAGCTGTTCTTTTTCTTTCTGTGGGAATTGAACCCGTGCTTTCCCACTGAGCTACATTCTACCCACTTCCCCCTTTGAGACAGGCTCTTGTCAAGTCATTTGCCCAAATTTGTCATTCTGCTTCTGCTTGCGGAGTGCTGGGATTACAGGCATGTTGACTACAGTTTTCTGAGAAGCAGAACACAGCAGTGCATCCCTCTTGGGCTAGGGGTCAGCAATGGCTCCAGTCCTGCCTACCCGAGTCCTTTCTGTCATATTAAAGAATGTTTTCTTCTAACTAATGTTAACTTCTAAGAGTAGTAGTTGCTTACTTTAAAGGTCCACACAGGAAAGTATGTGAGGTAAAGGGGGAAAGCCTTTGTAGCCTCCATTTATCAAAAGATGAAATGAGCCTGGACCCCCGCCTCACACTACACACACCACAGTGGATGGCAAATCTGCAGGTAGAAGGTTAAACAGAGCCATCAGCCCAGCTTCTGGAAGAAAACGAGAATATCTTCATGGCCTTTGTTAGGAAAAGGCTTCTTTAAACAAATGTCATTAAAATTAGGAGCTTTACAAGGAAATTTAAAATGTAAGCCAAAGGTTGGGAAAAGATTACCAGAAAACATACAGAGAACTAGTGACCAAAATACGTGAAAGAACTGTAAATCAATAGACTAACAACCTGTTTGAGGGGAGGGCAGAAATCTTGGACAGACTTGTGGAAAAAGGACACACAGAGACTGCCATGCACACAGAAAGGTGCTCAACACGATATCAACAGGGAAATGAAAATCAAAGCGGCAGGAAACTCAATTCCACGGCACCAGGAGGGCCTGGACCAGAGCAGCCCAGACAGCACGGGCGTGGGGAGGAGCACATGGAGGAATGGAGCGCTCCTGCACTGCGGCTGGGACTGGAACATGGTGTCGTCCCCTTGGACAATAACTCGGCAAATACACCACCTCACTAGCAGTTCCACTCTTAGGTCTGCACCCAAACAACTGCACAGGTCCACAACGTGACAAAAACGAGAATGTTCATAGCAACTTCAGTAAGGACCAGAAAGCACCGCAAATGTACGCGCGGCACAGATAACCAAACCGAGTTCTCCATAAAATGCTCCACAGCAAGGAAGAAGATGGAACTACTGCTGCAGTCAACAAATTGTGTGAAACAGAAACAGCATGATGCATGAGGACATCAGGCTGCCGGAGACGCGGGTCAGACAGTATCGGCTCAGGATGAGTGACTGTCCCCGGGCCGAGAGCTTCGGCCTGGAGCTGTGCTGGCCTTGCTCTGGGTGGTGGCCACATAACACAGTCCTGGCTGGGGGCTGCACGTCAGTAATCCCCCCACTCTGGAAGTCCGCTGCTGGAAGATCCTGAGTTCCAGCCTAGCCTGGGTGACTTACTTCATGAGATCCTGTCTCAAATTGTAAAAAAGATTGGGATGTAGTTCAGATACCTGGTACCACAACAAAAGGACACACACATGAAGAAGTTCTCAGAGGCGGGAGGAGACCCACCGACCTCTTCCCCATACAGCTGGTCTCCCTGTGCACCAGGGCTGGCAACACTCAGCATGGATTCAGGGCCTGACCCCAGCTCCGTGAGAAGGGCACCCGCGGTCCAGGGCGAGAGACTCCCCAGGCCGCTGTCCCCCTCCCCTGCTCCTCTCCCAGACAACTCCTGGCTCCGTGGGACTGGAGGAAGGCGCGGGACCCTAGCCCGAGGAGACCCTGACCTGCAGAGGGCCCGCGGGTCAGCCGGAGGCTGGGGTAGTTCAGCCCGGGGGGCGCGGCTCCGCACTTCCCACGGACCGCTGTGCCTGGTGCGGGCC